AGTATTTTTAAAAATTAGCAGCTTCTCAGGCCGGCTGAGTGGCGCTTTGGTTAGGAGTTGGCTTGGGATGCCAGCTCTGAGCAGCAGGGTCCTGGTTTGGATCCCACATAAGGAACAGTGATACTGTGCCCTTTACAATGAAGATGGTGAACAACAGCTCGACCTGGAGCTGGGCTGCCATGAGTTGCCGGCGACAGCGTAGGCTGCAGTGGAGCTGCAGTGGGCTGCTGTGAGCTACTGTGAATGGCTGGCAGCTGGTATGAGCAACCAGCAGTGGCCAGAACAGCTGGTGAGTGACTGCCTCACCCAGGAAGAGCGCGATGATCACAATACCAACATGGGCCAGTGAAGTGACATCCTCCACAACTAGACTGAAGAACAAAAGGACAGCAAGTTGTCTGTCTGTTCCCCTTCCCCGATTCCCCAACACTGTTTCCCTCCCCCAATTCCTCAATAAAATCTTTAAAAAATAAATAAATTAGCAGCTTCGCTTAGACTAGACATAGGAATTGAATGCCATGTCCAGTAGGAATAGAAAAGCCCTAAAGTGGGAAAAGATACAAGTCTCTTTTTGTAGAAAATTCCGGTCAGCGTCTATGCCAACCAGCTTGAGGAATGGCTGAGATATGATCCACTGTTGAGGCTGTTACAAAGCTTCCAGGACAGCCCAGCTGGAGGCATAGAACACACCAATTAGCTTAGGTGAGCCCAGCCCATAGGCACAACCAGTTGTTACAGGTGTGTGGACACTGTGCTTCAGGAAGCTGAGCAAGTACAAGAGAAACCCACAGGGCTCAGATTCCAAGCACTGCCATCAGGAGGGAGAGCCCAAGCCAGGAAGACACCCTAATGGCCAGGAAAGACTGTGAAGGACTGAGCATGAAGCTGGAGAACAGCCGAGGCCAAGAGACCCAATTGTAGAGAATCCAGGCTCTAAGCATGAGACTAAAAATCACAGACCAGGTGAGATGGAGGCTCTGACCAGGTGAGATGGAGGCTCTCACCAGATGTAGTCATGTTGTTTACAGAACGTTACCAGGTTTCAAGGACAGGCTTCCACTCAGACAGAATTAATAATTGAGACAGTTTAGTTTGGAATGACAGGTAGTCAACTATAAAAACAAGACCCAGAGATAAAATGATGCTTCAGAAAAGTAGTGAAGTGGTTCAGTTGGTAGGCTTTGGAGAGAGAGAGAGAGTATTGATTGATCCTAATCTCTACTTTGCCAGTTACTCCAGGGGTAATTTACATTATTACCTTTCTAAGCTTCAGTTTGCTCACCTATAAAATGGGGGTAATAATATTTCCTACTTCAAGGTTTTTGGAAACTTAAATCATGCAATTGAATTAAAAGGACTAGGGCAATGCCTAGCCTCTACTAATTAATTGTTCAATTAACGTATGTTATTATTAAAACTTTATACAGAATCATTTGCCTGTCTTATTTGAAAATGTCATAGTTACAGTATAAATTACAAAGTAGAAAGCTATTATGTATTTTTAAAAATCACCTTGCCATATAGCTTTATTCTTTTTAATGTATTTTCTTTAGGAAGTGAATTTTTAGCAAAATGTGACACCTGGAAACCAGGTCTCAGAGCAGTTTTGGACAAGCATAAAGGAGACTCATTTCTAAATAAAACAAATTCGGATTGTACTGATAATGATCTCAATCAATCAAGTGGGGTTAAGGCATATGGAAAAAATTTATCCTTTGGAAATTCAAGTTTTAAGAAAAAGTCAAATTTTGTGTTAATTTTAGATTGGGCTTATTATATAGGAGTCTATTTGTTCAGGTTTAGCTAGCAAGGTCCTTCACTTCCTTGCTTTGCCTCTCAACAAATTCAGTATCTGCCCTACCAGGTGGCTTGAATTAATTAACTGGCTTTACATTTCAGAGCTGTCTCACTCTCCACCAATGTATTAGGTTTATTCACAGGAGTCCTGCTTCAGGCTGGGAGAGCAAAGGGGTTCTGAAGAAGAGACAGGCTATCATATTTTTGCTGCAGAATTAGACACCATCTATCTGAAAATGGAATCTGTGGTAAAAACCTCCAAATTTCTTGTAAGCCTTCTCTTAGGACCCACTCAGTTATCCCAAGACTCACTTTTTGGAGAACTATGTAACAATACCATAAACATGTCATCTTCTACTTCTACTAATTCTGTTGCTCTGAAGCACATCAACAGAACTCTCCCTGATATTATATCATTTTACCTTCTCTTTACCCATAGTACACAATAGAATTAACTAACTTTATGAATGAATATTACTCATTTCTGAAACCTGACAGACTTCTAGGGAACCATCATTTGGCCAAGGAATATAGTGTTTAGCTTCTAAAGAAACCATGACTTGGGCGGCCAAGTGGCTCAGTTGGTTATAGCGCATGCTCTAAACAACAAGGTTGGCGGTTCGATTCCTGCATGGGAAAGTGGGCTGTGTCCCCCGCAATTAGATTGAAACAATGACTTGACTTGGAGCTGATGGGTCCTGGAAAAACACACTGTTGCCCAATAAAATCATAAATAAATAAATAAATAAATAATAAATAAATAAATAAATAAAATAAATAAAATAAAAAAGAAACCATGATCTTCTAATTATCCCAACATTTTACTATTTTATCTCTTCCCTTCATTGTTTTCACTGCTACCTGGGTGGTATAATGGAAAAGATGAAAAAGTGAAATTCAGTCAAATAACTGGCTATGATGTTACTTGTGAAAGTCCTGAAATCATTGGATGAAATAAGCCTTCAGATAGTCGTTGGGTTTCATTAATTCAATGGTTCTTAAGCTTTTTCATGCATCAGAATCCCCTGGATTGCAAGTTTTTAATTCAGAGAGTTTGAGATTGGGCCTGAGAAATTGCATTTCTAATAGGTTCCCAGGTGATGCTGATATTGCTGGTTCAGAGCCTGTACTTCCAGACTCACTGCACTAATCCACGCTTTCTCTTCTATTAACATGACTAATCTAGAATTTGCTTTTTCTTAGCTAGCTTTAGAGACTTATGCTGTATAAACTAAACATTATAGGTTAAGCTGTTATTTTGGTATATGTGCACCTTGTACAGTGTAATAGAGGTGGATGAGTAAGTAGTTTGCCCATTTAGTTGATTTCATTCACAAAGTAGTCAATTATCATATTTGCTGAATTGTGGCTCTAATCCACAAATCACTTTGCTTCTCTATGTTATTGTGGGGCCTATGTAAATACTGATTTTTAATTTTATTTTTCTTAGTGGTAAAACCTCAGTTTTTTGGTATTGCAAAGAATTCATACATAGAAACCATCTTTTATTGTTTTCCCCAATTATCTGAAGCTATGGGCTTATTTGGTAGTGGTAGAATTGAGTTTCATTTGTCATAAAATATTTTTTTTAACTCAGCATGATGTTTTGTTAGCTTTGATAAAGGATATGGAACAGACAACAGCATCACAGAGGACTTAGATGTAATTTCTGTTACTGGTCACTGCCTGGGATGTGTTTTGATCTCAAGAAGTGACACAAAGCTAAACTGAATTCAGGTCAAAGCTACAGTGTTTGGGATCCCCCAGCTTAAACACTTCGCAAAACACCTTGCACCCAGAGGGTTGTCTGTTAGTTTCCATTCTCTAATGCAGCTATAGTCCACCAATTATAGGTTATACAACAAACCATCTCAACAACTAGGAACAACATTGCTTAGGAACTTCCTTGGATCCTTCATTTCACTGCAATGGATACATTTCCTTAGTTGGTATCACAAGACGTTGGAGGAACAATCAAACTATGCTCAAACATCCCTGAGACTGGAGTAATAGTTTCAGTACAGCTGTTAATTGTTTCCCTTCACTAGGTTACATGTAGAATCCTAGCGGAAAGGTAGATGATCCTTTCCATCATCTATGGTTCAGGAAGTGAAGGAAGAAGAAGGTTGAAATAGATATTGAACGGCCTCATATACAGTATGTACCACACTGTCTTAACTAGTTAAAAGCAGGAAAGAGGTAACCTAAAAACAACCCCTGGCCTGATTATCTGAGGATGAGCTTCTAAACCTACTGTGCTCTGAGTTGTGACTTGTCATAGTAGCATTTTTTTAATCTATCCTGCCCAACAGGGTGGCAGTATGGTACAGTAACAGTCTTTAAGGGCTTCATCACTTTGAGCTGTGTAAAACCGTGGGAGTTATTGGGCCTCTGCATGCACCAGCTCTCTCATCATAAAATAGAAATGACAATAAATGCCACTTTCCAGATTGTTGTGAGAGTTAAATAGGGAAATACAAAGTTCTTAGAATAGTGTCTGGCACAAAGTGCAAAATCTATATTTCATTAACACATGCATACGGGGTCTTGTTGAATGCTGTGTGACCTACAAGAGCCCGACACAATTATTGATGTTTTTTATTGGAGGAATATTCAAGACCTGGAAATAGTTAAATGGATACTCAAGTTCAATAAACACTTAAGTAAAAGCCAGAACACCTCTGGGTGTGTTCCCATGCTTAGCTGCTTGCCAACCCTACCAATCCTAAACTCAGGATGGACAAATAATCTATAAATAGGTACTTCCACTGGGAGGCCATAAAACTATGATGTAACCCTTTATAACTTTTTATTCTTCAGCGCCAACCAAATGCTTTTTAAACATTTGGGTAATTGTCACCCTTAACAATCAGCCTAGTATAATAACATGAGATGCTCTACTTTCGAAAACTTTTGTTACATTGGAATTCTGACATGCTAAAAAGAGGGCTTTATCTTTAGAGGTATGGGACTTTAGAAAGCTCTGCATCATAGAGTATCTTCTTTTTGTCTTTTTACTTTGGGAGTAGGGATAGGAGAATATAGGTGACTGCTTTGTAGCCTATTCACTTTACAATGTAATAATCTGGGCGGTACTGTATACATGCACAAGCAAAGCATTGTTTTAACTGAACTTGCACCACCTTGGGAGTGTTGTGCCTTGACTAACCCAGGTGTATCTCCTTCTTCTCCTCCCACGCTAGCTGGACAGTGCTACATCACTCATCCAGGCAGCTAAAAACCTGATGAATGCTGTGGTCCTTACGGTAAAAGCATCCTATGTGGCCTCAACCAAATACCAGAAGGTCTATGGGACGGCAGCAGTCAATTCACCTGTTGTGTCTTGGAAGATGAAGGCTCCAGAGAAGAAGCCACTTGTAAAGAGAGAAAAGCCAGAAGAATTCCAGACGCGAGTTCGACGTGGTTCTCAGAAGAAACACATTTCGCCTGTACAGGCTTTAAGTGAATTCAAAGCAATGGATTCCTTCTAAGACGATAGGCTTTAACAAGAAAGCTTTTTCTTTCTTTTTTTTTTCTTTCCTTTTTTTTTTTTTTAATTCCATTTTTGTATGCATTCCTGCCAACTCGTATGCCTCTGGCATGGGGAAATTAAGGGAGCAAAGTCTGTTTGCATGTAAGATGAGATGCGATCAATACTGCTGATCCATCTAAAGTCTGGAGAGGGGACAGGGAAATCCTGTCCTGAGGTGGCACAGAGCTGTCCTTTGCAACATTCTCATTAAATTTGGTGAAGAGTTCACATTGCAATGTTTACGGGAGTGGGAGGGATGGGGAAAATAAATTTAACTTTACAAAAGCAAATTCTAATGCATGCAAGAATCATTAGGTTGGCAGGTATATTAAGTGAAAAATCTGGAAGTGTAATGATAGAACATAAAGCTTGTATTGCTTCTGTTTCGGTGCAAAAATGTGCTAGCCAATACGCTTAAGTGTGTGGCCCACAAATTGAACAATTTAACTTTGAAGTCATATCCATGATATGTGGATTATTTTTACTAAGGGGAAACTAATTCATCCAGCTTAAAATGCTTCTTTTAATCTGTGTTCTGTTCTTTCTCTTCTAGTAATGTCATTACTAGTGCTCATGTTATCAATTTTTCCCCTTTACTGAAAAACAATAAACATTTATTTGAGACAATTATAATCCTTCTGGGGGCACTGGAAGCACAATATAGTGATCCATTTTGCTTTTACTTTTTTTTTTAATTTGAACTATGATTTTGCTAGAAATAGGAGGCCCAGTGGTGAGTTGTTAGAGGAATGGAAACTGACAATGTGTGAAGGTTTAGAGGCAAATACATAGGTATAGCTTGGAGTGCTGGTATCTAATATGCCATTGTATCCACTAACTCGAAATAAACACATTTAATCTTGACCTCTGAAGAATCTTTTCTTTCTTTAAATGCATACTTAATAAAAGATCAGAGCATCTTCTCGAAAACTGGTTTAAAATATTTTTGTTTGTTTTTAGAAATTGGGGACAAAATAGGTGGTATATAAAGAAATCTCTGAGTCAACTGTAGAGTCCAGGAATTGCTTCTGTTTTATATTTTTCAATTTGGTTTTACTTACTTTCAAACTGAAACTAAAATGAGAAAGTCATGTGTTAGATTTTTCTGAGCCATGTTTAGCCCTGGGCTAAATGTAAGAAACTTAATGGGTTCTCAGAGAAAAACTGAAATATATATATATATATATATATGGAGGCACATTAATTTAAAACACTATTTTATTCATTCCAAAATATTTTTTATCTAAATTGTGAAAACAGGGCTTCTGTCTTGTTACTAAGGAGTAAGTAGTAGTCTTTCAACTATGGCTTGAGGAGTGAGAAAAGGACCCCAAATGTTTATCTGAGGGCCCCAAACTCCTCCCATTTAAATGACCTCCACAGGTTGGCAAGTTACAATACGTTCCCAGGAGACTTCTAGTAAAATAGGTGTGTCTTTCTTAGCAATATGATAATGAATTGGGGACTATGTTTGTATTAGCTTAGGTGCAAGGTCTCAAAGAGCAGAGACAGGAGTTGTGGAATGAGAGAAGCGTAGTCCAAAATCTTACTTAGACATGGATCTGCTCAAACCACTGCTCATCCCCACTGGGTGATAAAAACACCACTCAGGCTGAGAATGATCAGGTGGAGAAGCCACAATAAAAGCTGTAGACTGATTTTCAACACTAATCATTAGGTCACTATTCCAACTACCCTGCCCCCTTAAACCTAACACAGGCCATATATGACGAGTCCACAACTAACATCATATTTAATGGTGAAAATATTTTCCTCTAAGTTCAGGAACGAGACAAGGATGCCTAATCTTGCCACTTTTACTCAAACTAGTATTAGAAGCCCTAGCGAGAGCAATTCGGAAAGAAAAAGAAAAGGCATCCAGATCAGAAAGGAAGAAATCAAATTGTCACTATTTGCAGATGACATAAGTAGAAATCCCTAAAAACTCTACAAAAAAAAACTGTTAGGACTAATAAATTCAGTAACACTGCAGGATACAAAACCAGTATACAAAAATCATGTGTTTCTCAACACTAATAATGAATTATAAGAAAGAAATTAAGAAAACAATTGTATTTACAATTTCATCAAAAAGAATAAAATACCTAGGAATAAATTTAAGTAGGTGAAAGAACTGACAACTATAAGACATTGATGAAAGAAATTGAAAACACAAATAAATGGAAAGATATTCCATCTCCCATGCTCATGAATTGGAAGAATTAATATTGTTAAAATGTCCATACTACCCAAAACAACCTACATATTTCATACACTCACTATCAAATTTTTCAATGTCATTTTTTACAGGAACAACAAACAGTCCTAAAAATTTTTGTAAGACCACGAAGGACCTCATACAAACAAATCAATCTTGAGAAAGAACAAAGCTGGAGACATCATGCTCCCTGATTGCAAACTGCTATGTTACAAAGTTATAATAATCAGAATAGTATGATATTGGCCTAAAAACAGACACATAGATTAATGGAACAGAATAGAGAGCCCAGATATAAATCTGTGCATATATATGATCAATTTATGACAAAGAAGCCAAGAATATACAATGGGTAAAGGACAGCCTTTTCAATAAATAGTGTGGGGAAAACTGGACAACCATGTGCAAAAGAATGAAACTGGACTAGCTTACACTGTACACAAAAATTAATGCCAAGTGGATTAAAGACTTGAATGTAAGACCTGAAACCATAAAACTCCTAGGAAAAAAATAGGCACTAAGCTTCTTATCATTGGTCTTGGTGAGGGTGTTTTTAACATGACACCAAAAGCAAGAGCAACAGAAGCGAAATAAACAAATTGAACAATGTCAAACTAAAATGACTGTCAGGGAAACCTTTGGGAATTTTGTACCAGGAGAGGGGGAAATGTAAAATGATTTAATCCATACAATCACACAGTTCATTGTGTATACATGTTGAATGTGTAAACATGAGGAACTTCATGCTTGATTGTTAAAATGACAAGCAAATGGCTGGAAAATTTTAGGAGGAAGGGAAAATATTTGTTTGAGGGGATGATAAAAGATGTCTTCTCTTTCGGTTACAACTGCATGTTGTGTTTCCTCCTGACTTTGCCTCTGCATAAGCCAACAGGTTTAACAAGATATTTCTTTCCTATAGGTGGATTAAGAGTCTTTCATTTTGGAATCTGACTTTAATAAAAACAATTAGATTGATTGCTTTGTTTGAAATAACCATGGTTGTTAGTGAACTTTAATGATCCTATTTTGAATAACCAATTTTGTTCAAAAGAATATAAATAAATAAATAAATAAATAAATAAATAAATAAATAAATAAATAAATAAATAATAAAAGATTCTGCACAGCAAAGGAAAACATCAACAAAATGAAAAGGCAATCTATGGAATGGGAGAAAATATTTGCAACATTATGTTGAGGTGCATTCCCTCTAAAACCACTTGGTTGAGAGCTTTTATCCTAAATGCTATTGAATTTTGACAAATGCTTTTTATTTTGGCATTGTTTCTTAATGCCCACTCTAGTCATCCTCCTTAGCAAATTTATTCATTGATGCCTTTCATTTATTTAGAATATAATTATTATTTACTCATTTCCAAGTCCTAAGCCTTCCATTACCCATACCCAAATACTTCAGTACCCACTGTGTTCTGAGTTCTCCAGTCCTACACAGCAGTGATTTCTCTACCCCATTCATTTGGCACATGAAGATTTCTTGGCACATCTATAAAATAGTGTGTACATTTGAATAACCCAGCAAACTAAGCATTCAAAAATATGGGGACTGGATGAATTGTAGTCCCTCAATTTGCTGGTAATAGATCACAAGTCATTTGATTTTTATTATGGTGTCATTACATAATAACCAAACCAAAAAGGTTAGTGCTTACTTTTTACTTCAAGATTGTAGATTTGTTAAAAGTAATGAAAGGCATTTAACTACAGAAGGCCATTAACAATAATGTTTTTATAAAAAACACTAGTGCTGAGGAGTGTCCTTAGCAAGATGGTGGACTAGGAAGCCCTGAACTCGTGTTCGGCCATGGAAACACAAAGCAAACAACATATTGACCAAAGTAGCATTGTACGAACCCTAAACCCATTTAAGGATTTGTGGCAGCCAAGTGAATGTCTAACCAAGGAAAAAACACACTCATTATGGAAGGAAACTTGGACGAGTTTTGCTTACCTATATGCCGCCCCTTCTCTGGCACAGCATGGTCAGGAGGAAGCTATCCATTTCCGTGTTTCTCCCAAGTGATGGAAGGAAAAGAATGGAACTTGTCTGCCTTGTTCTGGCCTCTCTGCAGATTCCTAAGGGGCTGATTTCTATCTTGCCTAGTTTGGAGCACTGGTGGGAATGGTGGCATAGTTTGGATGTCAGATGGGAGGGCACTGAAAGCAGTGGCAGCTACCCTGACATGTAAGAGTTGAGGGGTGCTATAAATCTAGGCGCTCCTGGAGGCAAGAAATTTGGGGCAGAGGACTACAATAGAACATTTAAGACCTTGAGAAGAAGCAGGGATGAGACTTTAGGGAATATAAGCTATTTAAAGGTAGCCATGAATATGAGGGGTGAGGAGGTGGGTTGGGTAAAAAAGCACACACACAGGCTCAGGGGATGGGCATGCTTTGAAATGCTTGAGAAGACCATAACACTTCATACCAGGTTGATGAGTAGAGGTTTTTCCCTTCACAGAGCCAGTCCATAAAGACTGGGAGAAGTGACTGTTTTCTCAAATGCCCAACTATATGGTGCCTGCAAGTGATTCACAGTAGATCTGAGGAAACACATAGGTTGAATGTGAAAAGATGGAAAAAATATCTCATGCAAATAAAAGCAAAAAGAAAGTGGGGTGGTTATCCTAATACCAGACAAAATGGACATGAAGTCAAAACTGTTACTAGATACAAAGAAGGATACTATACAATGATAAAAAGCTCAATGCACCAAGAAGATATACTTAGAAACATCTATACACCAAACATCAAAGATCCTAAATATATAAGGCAGGCGTAGGCAAAACTGAAGTGAGAAATAGCTCTAGAATAATAGTAGGAAATATCAATACCCCACTTTCAATAATGGGTAGAACACTCAGACAGAAGATCAATAAGGAAATAGAAAAAAGTTTAAAAAGTGCTTGAGAACACCTAGTGTCATAAATCAATCTGGCGTTGATGATGCATTCAGAAGACGCAAAGGAAAATCAGCTTTATCCTACAAGTGAACAAAAAAGGGAAAAATAGCTACTGAAGATGAAATGTCTCTGAATCTGGCCATACCTTAAAGTTCCTGTGTCGAGTAGAAAGAAGGTGACTGAGTGATTGTTTGCCATGTTGTGTGATGCAAATAAGGAATGATGTGATGTGGGAAGAGCAGGTCGAGGTAAATGTACATGGGAGTGGGTGGGAAAGAGATCATCTGCCACCATATTAATATTATTCTTAAGTCAAGGACATACAATTTAACAAGATGTTATTATCCTTTTAGCCTGAATCCACTACTTAGATCAGAGGAGAATACAGATGGTGCCAAAGGGATGTATACACATTTTAAGAAAGGAAAAAACTATTAAAATTGTGATACTTGACTCCATACTGATAACAAAAGATGAACACAAGTCACGTTTGACTTCTGTAATTACAAGAGGTGCTCAAAATGGTTAACATCAGCATAATTTTAATACAGTTTTTTTTCCTTTCTTAAAATACATTGTTTTGTATTTTACATTATATGTGTATACATTGTTTTGGCACCCTCTGTATACATTCTTTCAATCAATTAATAGTACCTAGACACTTTTGTTTTTCCTAAAATATTTATTTAGAATATCATGTGTTCCAGCAATTAGAGATACAACTATAGTCTGTAAGTATCTCAAAGGGCAATGTAGGGTTTTTAAATATCTCATATGAGACAAAAATT